AGAGGGGGGAGGGGTCGGCTGTCAGGGGTCACCCCTTGAAGGGATACCACCGCCCCCCCTCCCAGCGACGGAACCCAGGCGGCCGAGCACCCAGCCCCACAGCTCTAACCACTAGACTTCACTTCCTTCCCAGAACTGGGAAAGACAAGTCCTGGCTCCCAGCCCCCCGCACTACCCCAGAGCGAAGCTTCCGGGGCCTCCTCTCCCTGCCCCCACCACGGTACCTGCCCCCCTAGACACCTGGGTGTGGGGAGGTCCCTACTGTTTTGCATGAGCACCGCGTGTGCCTCGGTTACCCCGAGCATGACATGTCCCGCCGGCGAGGGACTGGGGGGCAGGGACCCAGGCAGGTGCCTTCTAGCCCTGAGCGTAGATCCCCACCAGGCAGCCGCTGGCCAGGGCCCTCTCCGAGGAAGAGAAAGGGGCAGCGGGGTGAGGCGGGAGGGAAGGCCCAGGCCTCTCCAAAGAGGCTCTCGCTGCACCTGCCATCTGGGCTGACAAGCTCCGTTTCACGCCTCCTCCCCGTGACTAATAAACCTGCTTTCCACGCTGGCTGAGTCACGCCTGCCTGGGGCGTGTGTGTGCACGTGCGTGTTTCTCCCTGCATCCTGCTCACGGGCGTCGGAGCCGGGAGGCTCCTTCTCCTGCAATGGTGCCCCATGGGGCGCCGGGACGAGGGCCCTGCCCCCCTCCCTCCGGCCCCACCGCTCACCGGTGACGGAGACTTTGTAGAGCGCCCGCAGTTTCTGGCCCGGCTGCTCGCCCGGCACGTAGTCGCCCAGCCCGATGGTGCACAGCGAGATGAAGCAGAAGTAGAAGGCGTCCAGGTAGCTCCAGGTCTCCTCCAGGGCATTGAAGACGGCGGCCGGCAGCAGGAAGAACTGCCCCCCTCCCTCCGGCCCCACCGCTCACCGGTGACGGAGACTTTGTAGAGCGCCCGCAGTTTCTGGCCCGGCTGCTCGCCCGGCACGTAGTCGCCCAGCCCGATGGTGCACAGCGAGATGAAGCAGAAGTAGAAGGCGTCCAGGTAGCTCCAGGTCTCCTCCAGGGCATTGAAGACGGCGGCCGGCAGCAGGAAGAAGGCGACCAGCACGGCCAGCAGCAGCAGCAAGAAGTGGACCTGGACCTGCGCCTCGG